TCTACTCTTCGTAAAGAATATATATAATGGATATTTCTGCAAGGATATAGAAGACACTGGTAACCATGGTTGTTTCTTAAAAAGGAAACTGGGAGTGAAGACAGAAACCAATGTTACTTCTGTATGCCTTCTGAACCATGCACATGCGTTTTCTACTACAGTAGGTTTTTAAAAATAGATGTGCATAATATAGAGGTCCACAGTTGTGCTGGATGCACTAGATGAAAGTCACCACTGAGATGGCTTAATGACAGTCAGGCCAGTATGAGGAAAAGAATTCTGGAAATTCAAGCATTTAAAATGTTTCTGAGCATCTAGACCAATGCTTTTCATATAGTCCAGATTAATGACAGATTCCATTAAACGGACACTTTTGGCAGGAAATGTAAAATATGTACACGTTAAAGCATTTCAAAGGTGAAAACGAGTTCTTAAGCTCAGATAATAGAACTGTGGGTTATTTTTTAAAAATATTACCATTGCAATCATATTATAATTATTTTTAGTCATAATTAAATAGTACTGAAGTCACTTTAAATAACACCTAGGAAAAGGATACAAATTATTTCCCAGGATGTTAGCCAACTTTCATGAAAAAGGTCTGAAATCTTTGCAAATTCATGAGAATAGAAGAAAAATCATAAGACTGGAGATAAACTAACAGTCTGAGCTCCAAATACAGGAAGAAGATAGGGTTTGGGAAGGTTGGCCGGCATTGGCTATTGGCAAGATTCCAGAGCTCATTCATAAAAGTAGTTAGCTTTAGAAACCAGCAAAGATTAACTCAGAATGATGCAGGATAAACTATGCAAATTATTAAGATCAATAGTTTTAAATCAATGGAGTCATGCTTTCAACATTTTTTTTTTTTTCAGTACTGGGACTTAAACTCAGAATTTCACACTTGCTAGGCAGGCATTCTACCACTTGAGCCACTCTACCAGCCCCTCTTTTTAATATTTTTGAGAAAAATCACTGAGAAACTCCTTTGAACATTGACTTAGATATTAGTAACAAAAGACAGAACTGTAAAATAGGTACAGTGTTTGGGGGGGTTACTAGTGGGAGGGGAAGAGTGAATGAAGAAGATGAAGGTGAGGGTGTATGTTTGATGTACATCATGTACTTATATGAAATAGAACAAAGAATTCTCTTGCAATTGCTTTAAGTAGGGCAGGGACAGGGTTGAGGGAGAGAGATGGTGGGGGTGATCTAACGAATGTATAATATAAGCCAATTTGGAATTGTCACAAAATATCCCCCCATACAATGAACATATCCTAATTTAAAAAACAAAAACAAAAAAACCCACAAGCTCAGTAATATCGGAGAATTTGGACTGCACAGGGAACACTGGTGTGGGAGAAGAAAGCCAAGTGAACAGAGCTGCAGGCCCTCCTATGCTCCTACTCCCAAAACCTGCCGTCTGTGTGACTGTAAGGAATCTGGCATTGGCAACACCTCTCAATAGAGCTGAGATAAGCTGCAGAGACCTATGAAAATCATAAGGAAGCTGAATACCTGCTCCTGTGCAGAACACTTGCTCATTCAAATGTGTATTCACTGATTTATATAATCAGCCATATCACTGTGTTAAGACTGGCCTTGTGTTGTTGTTGCTATTATTACTATTATTATTATTATTGGAGGTATTGGGGATTGAACTCACATTTGCTAGGCAAGCGCTCTACCACTTGAAGCCCTATCCCCAGTCCTTTTGCTACATCTTCCAAGTAGGAGGATTACAGGTATGAGCGACAGTGCCTGGGCATGTTATTATTCTTAATCACAGGAGATAATGCCTATAAAATGTTTTTAAAAAAACTATAAAAGACTACCCAAAAAAGGTGGTATTATCATTATTGTGATGGTGGTAGTAATGATGATGATGATGATAATGAAGGAATTGTAGGTTCTATAATGCAAATTCTGCTGTTGATAATGAATACAAAAGCACCCAGCAAAAGATAAAAACAAAAAAGATCCTAACAGGAAAGGCCTAAATGCCCAAAACTACTAAGATGAGGCCTAAGTTGAATACCATGCTACATGGGCCCAGGCACAGAAAATCCTCACTTAATGCAATCCCATGAAGATGGTGTGGAGAGCCTGGCAACTGTGGTGTGAAGTTAGACAAAGTATGGCACATCTACTAAAAGCTTTAGTGGAGGCATGGCATCTACCCGTCCCTTCTCTGAGGGAGAACGACAGGACCTAGTAGGGTATGTTCTGGTGCCATGCTTAAGAGCCAGATGTCAAGTAAAGCAATCAACATGGCTGACTTGTCCTGTATGGGTGAAGTAGGTGGCATTTCTCAGCCAGGAAAGAAATGATTAAAAATGTATTCTATGAAAGGAAAACAATCATTCTGAGCTGGACAAACAGGCATACAGAACTTGAGTCTTACCAAAAACCACACCTCTCTGCAAGGAAGAGAGCTGTAAAGAGGCTGCTTAGGGATGGAGAAATTCAAACTGAGGTGAGTAAGTGGATGTCCAGAATATAACTCAGGAAGGGAGGGAAGCTTGTCAGCCCTGGAATCCCTTTTACCTATACCAGCTGGGATTTTAACTGGCTTGGCATTTTCATGCGCACAGCTGCTATGTCAGCTAATGAGAAAGAGGGGCAAATTATACCTGGTAACCCTTCTGTTTCCCCTCTCTACCCAACACCTAGAGATAGAAGAGGGGCATGCTGAAGAAACACACCTGCTGAAGGGTCCATGCTGGATGATAAAAACATTGCCTGCAGTTGATCTGCAAGAGGTAAGTATGCAGCCAGAGAAGGTACATATGGCAACTTCTCTGCTCCTGAACTTTCATCCACCAACAGAAAGCCAAACCTTCCTCCACTTCTGCTTCTCTTGCCCACAAAGCTTACCCATTAAAGTATCCATTCCACATCTGTACATTGGATACAGTATCCAGTGTACACAGCCAGTAGAGAAGATCTGCTTCAGTGCCAAAATGTGCTTGAAAAGCTCTGGAAAGCATTTGTTATGGAACAGAACACTGTAGAAGGACAGACCTTTATTTAGATCACATTTGTCCATGAAAATCAATATGTCCTTCCTAGTCTTTACGGTATGAGAAAATATGCCTCTAATTATTGTTTTACCCCTATGTCACCCTGCCGATGGCATGTAATTGCAACATCTTGTCAAGCAGCTCCCCAAAGCATGCCACACATATTAGTGCTGCCAGTGACCCCCCTGAGTGCTAATTTTAAAAATATGTGCAGCTTTCCAATATGCCTCTATAGTCTGTTTTCAAGGACTATTTTTGTTCTCTATTCCCACCATGCTGGAGTGTGAGTAGCTGCTTCCTGGGTCCCTATAGCTAAGGTAGTGATCCACTTTTCCACCTAACTTTCAACTTCCGCCTCTTTTTTGACCCCAGGACAAAGCACTCTTTATACTCGCTTCTTTGATCCATTCTTCTTCCTTTGCACTAGAAAAGGGCTTAAAATATTTGAAAATGTTGTCAAATCCTTAGAGTGACAGACATGCATGGAGACTTAAATATCAGTGTTCTTAATTTTTCTATGCTGCTAAACTGAAAAAGAGAAATATTGTTTTCCATGAATGGAAATCTGTCTTAGAAACACCTTTGGTAAGGAGAGGCTGTGGGGGAGAGGGGTCAGGCTGAAGTAAGCCAGAAGGATCCTCCCAATTATCTTGCAAAGCAGTAGGGACAGCTAAGCCAGACAGTTCCCACAGGACAGAGCATTTCTGGCCGGTTGGAACAAGATGAAAACAATGGCTATGATGATGTAAGAGTTTCGTCTTACACATTCATGATCTACAACTGTTTACTAACACACATTTGGGGAAAGGGGAGTTACATGCACACTGACCATTAAAAACGGTTAAATTCCATTTCTGCACTTACTTCTGCATTGTTTAAAATGCAGAAGGAGCAAAAACAAACTGCTTGACAAGCTGGCCTACAATATCTCTTAAATCTTAAGAAAGCTGTACAATTATAGACCTCTAGGGCAACGCTTGTCTATCACTGCCCACTGTCCGTTTTTAGGCTGACACACATTTCTCACAAAACACTCCTGCTGCTTTATACAGGATGCAGCATCTGCAAGGGAGCCCACTTTCACTGAGAGGGAAAGGTAGGTGCTGGGGTCTCAACACCTAAGGCCAGAGTAGCTGCTGGGCAAGGCCAGTGGTGACCCCTGGAAGATTACCAGCGTCCTTCCTATACTCTCATGATGTTTACTGAAGTCCTGAGAAAACATCAGGGGGAACACTTGGGCGGCAAAGTCTAAAGTGAAATATCTTTGCAGAGGTGGGGTCAGAAGAGGATTTTCAAAAGCCCTTTGCTCCTCTGGCTATAACTTCAATTCTTTTAGTGGCTTTAGTCTGTGTCCAAGCCATGAGTGGATGGCTGAGGTCTGCCAAGAAACCGTCTGAGAACAGGTTGCTATTTTTCATGGATAGGTATTTCTTCATGGGAGACACAGGGACAACTAGCCAGTGAGACCAGAACCATGGTGCTACCTTTAACCAGCAGACCTTAAAGGAAGGAGTCTTCCAGAGCCGCTGGTGACAGATCAAAGACCTCATTCTCTGGGTGGGCCACCCCTGCCTCAGCGAGTGTGACCCTAGCAGGGTGGGGGAGGGATGTTCCAGTCTTTTAGGTAAGGGGCACTCTTTCTATATGAGAACAGGACAGGAGTTTGGGTGCAGATTAGGGAAGGCTAAGGTGCCCCCTTTGGGGCAGGATGCAGCGTCACCCCCGCAGAGGGTGGCAAAAAAGCCCTCGCTTCACACCCAAGGACCTCATCTCCTTTGGGGGGACAGCAAGGAATTAAATCGATGCGAGACGCATGTATGCGCAGACTAGCACCACTTGGGGCGGGTAATTTAGGTCCCCCCCTCGGCTGGCGCGACAGCAATCTTGGTCTTCAGCGAGAACTAGAAGGTGGAAGCGACCAAGGTGGGGAAAGGGCTCACGAGGATGCGGGGACAGGGCGGTCGCGGCCCTTACCTTGCTGACCACGTTCTGGACCAGGCCTGTGCGGATTCCGTAGTCCCACTCATGGCAGTCGCAGTTGGAGGCATTGTCCCCCTTATCCGGAGGGGACGGGAGGGGTGGCGTGTCGCCCCCATCCGGGCCGCTGCTGTTGCTTCGGTTGCCCGCCGCCCCCCAGGCAGCAGTGAAGGGGGTAGTCGGGGGACTGGTCCAATTGCCCACGTCGCCCCACCGGCCGGTGACAGTGGCCCCCGCCACCTCGGCGCCTTTGCCCGCGCCGCGGCACCAGAAGTTGGGCTGGTCCAGGAGGAAGGAATCCGAGAACTGGCTGAAGCCGATGAACAGAGCTGGGATCCAGGTGAGCAGCACGAGGGTCTTCTGGTAGCCCCCGCCCAGGCCCCCGAGGAAGGGCAGCACCGACCCGTCGTAGTCCAGCAACAGGAGGCTCGGGGCAGCAGCCGCCGAGCAGCAGCTCGAGTGCGGGCCGCCGCCGCCGGGATGCAGCGGGGGCAGCGGCTGGATCTCTGCGCTGCCGCCGGGGCCCGCGCTTCCCCCGAGGGGCACCGAGGCTGCCGCGTCCCCGGGCGGCAAGGAGCCGTTCTCCTCGGCCGGGGGCGGCTGCCGCCCGGACCCGCCGCCCGCCGCCTCGCGCCGCCGGTCTATCGCCATGGTCCGGGCCCGCGGCGCCCGCAGAGGGGCATAGAGCGCGGCGGAGCTCGGCGGGCGCCCGGGGCAGAGCGCGCGGGCCGGGCGACTGCAGCCGCCGCCGCCGCCGCCGCCGCCGCCGAGGAGGCCCCGCGGCGGGAGAGAGAGCGCTCCGCTGCCCGGGTGCGTCAGGCGGCCCCCATGTCACCCTCCGGACCCCGCGCCCCGGGCGCTGCGGCCCCGCTCGGGCGCCGGGCAGAGGCCGGCCGAGCCCTCAGCCGCCGCCGCTCATCGGCTCCGCGGCCCGGGCGCCGGCGGCGAGCCCGCCGCTCTCCGCTGCTGCGCGCCGGCCGCGGGAGGAGGAGGAGCAGCCGGCGCCGCGCCCGACCCGCGCCCTTGCCGGTGGCTGGCGGCCTTGCGGACCGCGGTCTGCGGGAGGAAGGCAGCGGCGGGTCCCCCGCGCCCGGGACGTATTTATCGGACTTCGGGCGCCTCCCGGAAGCCGTGAGCTCGGGACCCAGCCTGCGAAGCTGGCCGCGCTCTCCGGCTCAGCGAGCCGGCCTCCCTCCTTCTCCTCCTCCTCCCTGGCGCCCCGGCCCGCCCCCTCTCCCCCCGCCGAGGTGAAGGTAACCGCGGCACCTGCTGCGCCCCGCTGCTGCTCGCGAGCGCCCCCTCCAGCCGCCGCCGCCGGGGATCCACGGGAGGGGGCGGGGGAAACGGGACACCCCGGGCCGCCGGGCCGCAGGATCCCTGCCAATCCCCGCTCTCTGCCGGGCGGGGCGGGGGAGGGGAGCGGAAGGCGCGCGGAGCAGGGGCGGCGGGCTGGAGGGGTTCCGGGCGGAATCGCCTAACGCGGGAAGCGCGGGGATCAGGTCGCCTTCTAGGCTTGGCTCTTGCAGCCGCGCAGGGCCACCGCCCACCCCTCGTGCGCCGGGCCTCGGTGACCTCGGTTCGCTTCAAAGGTTCCCAGCTGCACGCATCCAACTCCTGGTCTCTAGCCAGAGGGTCGCTGGCCTTCCGCAACAACCCTCTGCGCTTTTTCCAAGCTCAGACGAGGTTGCTTTTTATGCCCACGAAGCAAGGGCAAGGAGGCACATTTGCCAGTTTCAGGTTGCCAGTGCCCCACAACGTCTGGTCACCCGCTACCGATCGTTGCACCCACTCCCAAATCGCCATTTCTTCCCCCACTGGAAAACAAACGCTTAATAGGCACACTGTTGGAAGGATATATAGAAGTTATATACACACGTTATAAACGTGAATGGTGGTGGCATTCCCCATCCCCTCCCCAAGGTCTGAATTCATATTCCGAACGCCGTGTGCACAGGCACACCATCTACACCCTCACACCAGACCAGCCGCTCCCTGCTCCGCCAGCTCCTGCTTCAGCCTTGCTCAGCCAGCGCTATATAAATAACACCAGCCCTGCGGCAAACGGCCGCATTTAGCATATTTCCTCCTGCACCCGGGGCCGGGCACCAAAGAGCATTACGCGGCACCTTTCGCCCTAGCCTCTCCATATGTTGGAGACATTTCATGTTCTTAGTTTATTAATGGGAGTCTTAAATGAGACGATCCATTTATCAGGGGCAAAAAAAAAAAAAAGTGAAAGAAATGCTTTTGTTTTCCAAAAGAATACACTGTGAACTACATATACTGGATTCTTTCGCATTTTCATGATTTGCACAGCTGCATGTTGTGTAATTTAATGGAAGGCATTTTTTCCTCTAAAATCTTCAGCTCAATGTTTCAAGCAACATGTGCTTACTGCATGGTTTTTGGCACAGGGGAGAGAACTATTTCTGAAGGCTGTCAAGGGGTCTGACCTTGAGGGTTAGGGGGTTGTGAGCTGCGCTTGAGGGGCTGGAAAAGTGAGATTAGATAACAGTAGGCAGAAGGGACCGAAAGGACGGGGACACAAACGCTCTCAGAAGTGGGTCTACAAAGGTGCACTATACTTTAGAGGGCTTGGGAGTAATGGTGCAGTTGTTTGTAGTGATCTTTTTTCCCAACTTCACATTTGCTTCTGGTAGTACTGGAATTTGAACTCAGGGCGTCATAATTGCTAGCTAGGTGCTTTATCGCCCAGCCCTTCAACTTCACATGACTAGTTTAACTTTCCCGTTCTTCCTCTTTCTCACTCAGTCGAGGGAATACTTACAAAGTGCTGATCCTCATGCCTGGAACAGAGTAAATGCTCAACGAGCATTAGCTGCCTATTACAACACACTGTTTCTCTTTCTGGGTTTAGATAAAACATTATGGATTTTATTTATTTACCTTTCAGTACTGACTTTTCCAAAAAGAAGTCTGCTTTCTGCTTGTGACTCTGCCTCTTTTCTCCACCTAGTTCCTGGGACCCACTTGGTTTCTTTTCATAACTCATTCAAAACAAGAGCAGACTCTAATCTTAAGAATGGCCATTCTAACTGGAATGGTAACAACAGGAGGGAACTTTCAAATTCACACTCTCATTCAATCACAGCCCAGCAAGAGGTGGGCCTTGAAGATGAATGAGTTGGCCTGCATCAGAACCAAACAGCTGATTCCGAATCCATCTCTTTTGAATTAACATTCCAGGGCTTTCCATTTCAACATGCAGATGCAGATTACACAACCATAGGAAAGAGTTTAAAAAGATACTTGTTAGAAAAAAAAAGGCAATGAACATTTGCTTGACTAGTCAAATCATTTCACTGTGTTGCATGCATATCAAAACACCCTTGTGTACTTTAAAAAAAATTAATTAAAAATTTACAGGAGGCAAAAAAGCAAATAGAATGAAAGAAGCTCTGTTTGCCCTTTAGAAAAGAAAAAGATATAAGCATTTTTATGTGGAAGAAACCTGGGCCCTGAAGTCAGAGCTTCATTTCAAAGCTGTTAGCTTTTATTTCAAAACCCTTGAATGGTACATTCCCAGAATTTAGAGACACACTGGAAAATGGTGCCCTCTAAAACTGAAGCTGAAAGGAATCAACATGAATTGTTTGGTATTCGTCATCCACAGCACTGACCCAGGCGTTGTAATTAAGTTGCTGATCAGATTAGAGGTTTCCCTGAATCCCTCTTGGATGACATTTTCCCCAAATGCAGTCAAGAAGATTAAAATGTAACTAATTTAAAATAAACCGGCCTTCTATTTATTAAAACTTACCACAAGTGACCTCATGATGGGACCCAGAATAAAAGGAGGAAAAAGGAAGAACTGGCCACTCAGCCTCCAAGGTGAGTGTTAAAGGTCCACCAGCTATTATAGGGAAGCCTAGAGAACACCTGTTATCAAATTACCCTTTGCAGTTTTCTGCAGGGTAGTTACCATTACCTGCTGGTTTCTCTTGTTTACTTATTGACTTACTACCTCCACCTCTAGAATGCAAGCACCTTGAGGCATAAATACCTTGTTCCGGTGGCTCAAATAGTACCTGGCACATGCAAGACTCTTGATACACATTTGCTGAATAAATAAATGTGCCTGATTCTTATCACTGGATACTCTCAAGTAAGATCTTACAATTGGCCAGGCCTGGTGTTACACATCTGTAATTCCAGCTACTCAGGAGGGAGAGGGAGACAGGGGGGTGGGTACAGAGACCCTATCTCAAAAACAAAAATAAAAACAAAAGGTTTGGGTGCATGGCTCACTTGGCAGAGTGCCTCGGGGCAAGACCTTGGGTTCAATTTCCAGTACTGGAAAAAAAAAAATTCTCCAGCTGGGTTTACTTTGATTCTTAAGTCATGAAACAAGCTCTTCATATTTGCTCCATCTCTTAAACATAGTGCTCAGATCAGCCAACACAAAAATTCAGATGAACTCAACAATTACATTTTCTGTTGTGGTTAATAGATTCACTCCCTGTATGATGTTCTTAAGGGCAGTTATTGGCTTGCACATGGTGGCTTTCCCTTGCTAGACCAAATGCAGCTCACAGACTATGCACAATGTTTCTGAAAAAGATTGCAACATTTCAGCATTGGGAGATTAAATGTTTTTTTAAAAAAAACATGCTGGGTCTTCTCTTGACCTAACAGAAGCCTGGCCCTTTTGCTGTCCCATGTTTGCCAGGACCGTGCTCCCTTGGAATGCAGTCAATGGGCAGTACAGTTCATCTCTGCCTGGCATGTAGCCACCTTGCACATCATTCGTGCCCTGAAAAAATCTGAGTTTGTGACCCAAAATTCATGCGAGTATCTTGAGTGCATTCATTCCGTAAAGAAGCTGAGTCATTCTCTCTTCCTTTGAAAGCCTGTTGAATCATCTAGCCCTTCATAATTCCCTAAAATTTGAAAAAAAAAAAAAAAAAAGCGAAGGCTACAACCTAATCACCAACATACATGAACAATTTTATTTCCTTGGCGATAACAGAAGAACAAAAAGGTTGTTTGGCTTTCCTCTAAAGCTGACAGAAACTTAATTTTTAAATCCTCCACAATTCTGTAAAAGCTGATTCCAAGGCATTGGTGTTAGGGTTAATTAACTTTAAATGAATTTCACATTGGTTTTACTTGTATATTCATTTATGTTTGAATTATAGATGGAGAGCTCCCATGTTAGAATGTCATGTGTCTTTCTTTTGTCTTACAGTAGCTTGATTTCTTCCTTTCAAATAACTATTTGAAAAGTGGGTTACCTTGGTTTTTGGAGAATGGGAGAAAGTGTTATGAAATAACTCCTAGCTATGGTTGTGTACACAGAACTTAAATATTATTTATAACATTCTTTGGCTTTTGGAATGTCAACTCTGACTCTTTAACAAGGAAGTTGACATTTACAAAACCTATCATAGATGAAAATTAAAAAGCTACTTTCATTCAGTGACAGAAGTAATAAAAATGTCACACAGTGTATCCCAAGGAAGACTGCAGGTAGTACCTTGAGAAAAACTACCTACTCATCTAGTATAAGCCAAATTCATCCTTATCGGAAGTCACATTAAGTAAGTGAAGATAAGATTTCTATTCAAAATGCTACTCCATTACAAATGTGATTAGTAGGGCCCAATTACTTGGTCAAAATTTAATTTCAAACTTTTTCATTGAGTTAAAAAACAACTGGGCTAACAATTGGCCTAGAATTTGGTGTTGGCCAAATTTTTTTGCTAAAAAAATCACAG